GATCCTGTAAGTTAAAAATTGAGATAACTTCATCTTAAACAGAACTTTCTCAAATGATCAAACACAAATTAAAGTTTTCTTGTTCCAAGGGGAAATAAAACTTCCAAACGTTTTAAAAAGCGCTCCTACCCCATGTGAACGGTGGCGTGTGGTGCTGTGGTGAATCCCGTGTTTGCTTTTATAGCTACTTCGTCCACTCCTACCAGAGGACTTGCTACTATGGTTCTGGTATCTGCTTTCATAGTCCCTATGGCGATGTCCAGATTCACATCCTTGACTGTAGTCATTTCTATATTCATCAATGTAGCGCCGACTGTAATAATCTCTCTCATTTATGGTCCTGCTTTCCAAATAATGACTGGAAAAATAAAAATAAGCACTTTTTTTTTCAATGCTTCAGGCTAATACCGAATATCCTCAAGTTCTCAGTAAATCCCTTAAGACAGTAAGATTTTGTTTGCTCCCACCAACCAAAGCATACCCTCACACATAATTTTATAAGCATTACAAGCCATCGGGGCAAACAGGAAATGGTAAGCATGATTATTACTTATTGAAGTGACACGGGCTCTAACTATGGAAATGTGTTTTCATCCTCGGGCACACACTCCGCCTTACCTATCCGAGGTTTTAGCGTGATCGTACTTGCAGCGCTTGCTCTCGCGGGCGCTGCTGTGGGACCGCCTCGCCCTCTTGCGGCTGTTGCTGCGGCTCCTCCATTTCGCACACTCCCAGTCTTTCTCCTCCCAATCCGGACAATAGCTCCTCTTCGAGTGCCTCATCTGCGTAAAGCACAGGTCCCCCCCGGTTTTTATAGGACACCGCAGGTCAACAGTGAACAACAGCTCAGTAAGCTTCTCCTCGGCACACTCACTCTAGCTGTGACCCTGTGTATCGATTTTGGCAAAATCGCACCCCCTTTCCTGCCAGCAGAAACGTCACCCATGTTCACGTTATGTAATTCTCCCCACAGACTAGCCCCAGCTCACCAGCAACCATACATGTTCTCGAAACAGAATCATTGATTATTGAAAACTTCTGTAAAGGAGGTAAAACTCGCCCAAACTAGGGAAAGGCCCAAGTCAACGACGGCACCGCAAAGCAAAAGGACAAAACCCCGTCTTCTGAGCGTCACTCCCCACAAAGCCATCTTACACCATCGCTTTTCTTACACAATCCGGTTCGGAGTGCGGGGAAGCCATCTTCCCTTCACAAATGTTTCCAATGAAAACCCCTCACTGGACTCCACCACGTCTCCGCCCTCCAAATGCTCCCAGCGGGGCGCAGAAACTCCCCACACAAAATGCCGGACCACACTCGCCCTCAAACCCTGGATTCGTTCTCCCTACTCGGGTTCCCCGACCACACTGAGGGGGCACCCCAGTCCCGTGAACAGCGACTGGACGTCAAAGGACATGGCCTCATCCCAGGCCGCCGCCCTCCGTCTTTGTCAGCACAGCTCCGCACAGAAGCATCGCTGACTTAGATCCAAGGTAAACGCCCGCCGCGACGGGCGCCCGCCGCCAGCCGCCGCCATCTTACAGCGCAGGAGGCGGCGGCCGCTGCAGACAAGATGGCGCCCGCGGTGTCAGGGCGCGGCCCGCCCTACCCCCGCCTGGCACACACGGTCACTATCCTCCGCCAGGGTCCGGGGCGTCGAGGTTACAGCAGACACTCGCGGCGACAGGCTGGACCGAGCCGGACGGGGCGAGGGGGAAAAGGCTCGCCGTGGAGGAGACCGCGGGCGGCGGCCTAGGGGCGCGGGTGGGACGGCATCGCCAGGCGCTCGCGGGGCACAGAACCAGGGCCCCGACGCCCAGCCCACTTCCCCCAGCGCTTACCGTCCCGGCCAGAGTCGACGCCGAAGGAGACAAAGCTTGTAACGCGACAGCGGAGAAGGCCCTGCGGACTGGACGGGCTCCGACAACAAAATGGAGCTGACAGCCGCCGCGTCAGGACTCTTCTGAAAAACACAGGTGACGCAACAGCGTGACCCGCCCCCACCGCCGGGCGGGGCGTGCGCGGGGGTGGGGCGCATGCGCAGGAGGGGAGGCGGGGGGGCGCACGCGGCCCCGTGTGCGCAGGCGCGAGAGGCGCTGCTGCAGGTGACGGGGGAGCTGTGGTGCCGGGGAAGCTGCGACGGCGGCCATGTTGGCCAGGGTCCTCTTCGGACAATGGAGGAGCACTGAAAGAATTAGTGAGAAGAGACTCGTCTGTGCTCACTAAAAATGGTATTTGTGAACGCTGGAGACGAGGAAAAGTGTGTTTAGTGCACATTATGTGTGGACTGAGTGGGGAGTGTGTTCCCAATTAATCATTTTCAGTCAGTCCTCACTATCTCAGAATGTGACTGTAAGTAGGACCTTGACAGAGGCAGTTAAGGTTCAGTGAGGTCCCTAGGGTGGGACCTAATCCAATAGGACTGTTGTGGGGTCGAACCCTGGGTTCAAAATAAGAGCACCGGAGGCTGATAATTTATTTAAAAAAAAACAAAAAAAAAAGCCAAGGATTTATTGAGCTGGCCAGGGCAGTTGCAAAAGTACCACACGCAGGGGCAGGTAGTTATTTTTAAAAGTTCTGAGAAGGAAAACTCCCATTCTTTAACAAACTGTTGTTTGGAATTTTCTGCTGTTCTTCCTAGATAAAATGTTGCTTTCTAGTTTGCTTTAGCCCGTTTGAAGAATGATGAAGATTAACTTAGCTGTCTGACCTTGCAGGCCAGAGACCAGATATACCCACAGTCTCAATACCATGCCAGGTGCATTTTTTTAATTGGATAGAACAGCATTGTTTTCGAGGCCGGCATCGAGATAATCACTAAGTGTACATAGGGCTGGCTCTGTAATGAAAAAGAAAGTTCTGCCTGTAACCTTGCCCAGAATTTGAACTCATCCTCCCTAAGCCCATTGCACGATGAATAAAGCAAGTAAGTGAAGGTCGAAGTCAGAATAGTAGGGTTAAAATTCAAACAGTAGTTTTTACCCAAGTATGATTGCTACTATATTTCAAGGACGGTTTCTTTCCTTATGGAGATTAGGACACAGGCACACAGGGAAGGCCACGTGAAGACAGATGGTTGCCTACAAGCCATAGGCCTCCCTGACAGCCTGGCACACACCCGGATCTCTCCATCCTGATGGTCTAGTCGAGGCTCTGGCCGATTTCCGAAAGGGCCAGCTGTGGTCTCTGTCACTACCAATCGGTATTGCTGTTGTAGCACAAACCATGCAGGATGGGACTGCTTCCAAGAACGCATTATTTGCAACAGAAGGGAAGTCTGTTTCACCAACCTCTGGTTTAGATGGGGAATCATATTCCTCTTCTTTTAAAGAAAATTTTGGTTGGTCAGCAATATGATAGTCGTCTTTGTAGTGCAACACATCCATCACCCAAACGCTAACGTGATCCGTGTGAAACAGAATCCAGTGGGAGTTGACAGAAATCCTTACTCTGGATCTTGCCCTCAAGGTGGAAGGTCAGGATACCAAACCTCCCTACCTAGGAGATCCTTTTGGTTATCACTGAGCTGACGTTATAAGAATGAGCCCAAAAGTGACCACACTGGCACTACTTTAAAAATTGGCAAAGTTTAAAATAAAAAATTGGCCCTAACCATTTTGGCTCAGTGGATAGAGCATCAGCCTGCAGACTGAAGGGTCCCAAGTTCGATTCCGGTAGGGGGTATGCAGGAGGCAGCTGATTGAAGTTTCTAACACACTATCCTTCTCCCTTCCTCTCTGTAAAATCAATAAAATATATACTTAAAAATAAATAAATGAGGGAATGCCATCCAATACCAAAACATCCTGACAGTAAAAGCATCTTAAAAGTGATGACAAAAATTCAATGACATATTTGAAGAATGAGATCAGGTATAAGAAGCGTAAAACAAACTCTGGCCAAAAAGGGCCTTTCATACTAATTTCAGAAACCGAAATGGTAAAAAAGCTGAAACAGGATGTGAGAACATTAGTATAGCTAGCACCTCACTTTAGTGGAAGGTATAGATGGTTCTAGAGGGCACCTACAAGCTTAATTCCCAAACTGTAATTAGAAAGAACCAAAACATTTCATCAATCATCTGCAAAAATATGCTTAGTTTTAGGAATACCCAAAATATAATCAAGGCAGTAAGTGGAAAACATTCTTGATAAAATCAACAGCAGAGTCTGATAAATGGCCTGATTAGGTAAGTGTGCTCTGGTGGAGATAAATAAAACAGCTTCCATTACGTAATACAGAACCTGACATGCCAGGAGCTTTACACATATAATTTCTTTTAATCCTCACCACTGTTTATGAGAGAATATTTATGAATGAGAAAACTAAAGCTTGGGAAGTTAATTTGCCTAGTTACTAGTAGGGAACCAAGCTGTGATTCAAATGCAGACAGGACTCTACAGCTGGTGTTCTTAACCAACTAATTGCATTTTTCAAATGGATCAGCTGTAGAACTTTATCATGCCATATTTTAAAAGATTTTTTTTTAAATGTCCCATGGGCAAATCAGTTGGGAAATTTTGAGTTTTTACTAGACTCTAGATATCTCTAAGCCCCTATTATAAATTTAAAGACCAAAGAAAAAAACAAATGTATTGACTGGCCTTCTTATACTACATCCTTATCTTTTTTCTTTTTAATGAAATTTTTTTTATATATATTTTATTGATTTTTTTACAGAGAGGAAGAGAGAGAGATAGCTAGAAACGTCAATAAGAGAGAAACATCGACCAGCTGCCTCTTGCACACCCCCTACCGGGGATGTGCCCGCAACCAATGTACATGCCCTTGACCGGAATCGAACCCGGGACCTTTCAGTTCGCAGACCGACGCTCTACTACTGAGCCAAACCGATTTCGGCTACATCCTTATCTTGTCTTTCTTCTTTGTAACCTCACAAAGGGAACAATTAATGGAAAATAATACTTCCAGGTTGTGGACTAGATATAGTAGAAGTTTATAATTAGGCTGCTCAAAAATGACTGATTTGAAACTCAGCATTTAAAAATAAATGTTTTTATGTAACAAAAGGTAAACAATTTTTAAAATTAAACTTAAATACATTTGATATGGTTATAGTAAAGAATATGCTCAATCATAGGAGTAAAAGTTATTTGGTTCCCCTTGGTACCATGGACTCAGAAATCTTAGTTGTAAACAAGCAGGATGATGCAATCTGTTGACATAATTAAAGCTGGGTAAACCAGAGTAAGTATGTTCCTCAAATAGTTTGCCAAGTATTTGTCCACCCCTATTATAACTATTGAGCAAATGGGTTGGCATGAATAGTTATATCCTTAATGTGTACATCATTAAGAGGTCGGTATGTCTTCTCATTTACTGGTAACTTCTCCAATTCATCTAGAGTCTCCAGACCATCTATTACCCTGAAAGAGAAATAATATAATGGATAAAAATTTTCTGATTAAAACAAAATATCCATATATGTATAGCAATCGTAGTATCATTAAGAGAAAAGGACCAGCCCAGTCCATCTTGTTTAAGCCACTGTTTTCTCAATGAAAAGACACATTACTGTTAATTTGCATAATGGGCCAGAAAAAAGTATTAGCCTGTCTGAGAAAATAAGGAAATAGACTCAGAGAGGTTATAATTTCCCAAGGTCACAGGGCAGGTAAGTGGTGGACTTACATTTCAGATACATTTAGCTCTTAGACTGCACTTTCCATATTAGTTACACTACTATCACAGCCACTCATATGTATCCTTTCAATAAAATTCCAAAGAAGAAAACCATGACCAGGATACTCACTTTCCAAACACTGTGTATTTCATGTCCAAATGTGGCTGCTTGCCATAGGTGATGAAAAACTGAGATCCATTGGTATTTGGGCCATTATTAGCCATAGATACAACACCTCTAACATTGTGCTGAAAAAGATAGACCAAAATATTAATTTATCTATGTTTTTAAATAAATATTAGGTCTAGTAATAATTAATGTCGTTTTCTAATACTTTTTTAAATCGAATTTATTTAAACAATACAACAAAATTTAATCAACAATATAGTTGCCGTTGTTTCCTACTACTTGTGCCCAACGCTCAGGAAGCATTTTAATCCCTCTGTTGTAAAATTCTTGTGATTTTGATGCAAAAAATTAGGTCAATGCATTTTTGAGGCATTCTTCATTATTAAATTTTTTTCCAAGAAGAAAGTTTTGCAAAGAATGAAACAAATGGTAATCGGAAGGGGCAATATCAGGAGAATATGCAGGTTGAGGGAGAACTTCCCATTCCAACTGGTGCAGTTTTTCAGCAGTGATTCTTGCAGTATGCGGTCATGTGTTATCGTGGTGAAGAATTACGCCCTTCCGATTAATCAGCGCGAGTTCTTTTTCTCTTAAAGCTTGGGCTAACCTTTCCAATTGGGCACTATACACTGCACTTGTAATGGTTTGGTTAGATGGTAAAAGTTCATAATGAAGAATTCCTTTAAAATTCCACCAAACACACAACATCACTTTTTTCACATGCAAGTCAGGTTTTGGCGTGGGCTGCAGAGCCTCATTTTTGTCCAACCATTGAGGCTGCCTTTTCAAATTAACATACAACACCCATTGTTCATCTCTGGTAACAATTTGCTCTAAAAATGGCAAACGGTTTTGACGAGAGAGGAGCGAACTGCAAATTGTGACTCTTTGATTACGGTTGTGGTTGTTGTCAGTCAACTCATGAGGAACCCATTTTCCAAACTTTTGGACTTTGCCAAGTGCACGCAATTGATTGGAAATTGTTTTTTGTGAACAATTTAAAGTTGTCGCAAGCTCTTGTTGGGTAATTTGAGGATTTTGCACCAAAAGAGCTTGAAGAGCTTCTTGATCAAAATTGGACACACGGCCTCGACCACTCTTGTCATCTAACGAAAAATTTCCCTCGCGAAATTTCTCAAACCAACGCTGGCATTTTCTGGCCTAACTGCATCTTGACCAAGAGCACTACAGATGTTTTTTGCAGCCTCACTTGCTTTTCTTCCTAATTGGAAGTCGTAAAGCATGCAGTGCCGAATATGCTCTTCATCCGCCATCTTCTTAGCCCTAGTTTTGCAACAAAAACCAAACCAAACACAAACTTTTTCAAGCAAAACTTGTTAATTGCACTTCACACGTTCTGTAGATACCACGTGTTTGAAGGTTATGTCAATACAAGTCAACGCCAAGCAAGATTTTAAACGAATGTTTAAAAACGACATTAATTATTACTAGACCCGATATTCCAAATACAGGACTAAAACAAGACATGTACTCTTTAACCTCCCAATATTTAAGGAACCAAGAAAACATTTAATCAGCTTCTACTTGGGCAAACTCAAATATTCAGTTGCTGTATTATCTGTATCTGTGAAAACTTACATTAAATTGTTTATATATCAAATCATATACCCCAACCACAAACACTTTATGTACTACCAATGTATAATAGAAATAATCCTTACATTTATGTTATGCTGAAATAAAATGATCGGGCAGACAATAAAACCAAAATCCCCATAATCTCTTTACACATACACTGGACTCTGGCTACTTTATCTGTAAAACAAGGGAGTTTGGACTAGTTCTGGGTTTATTCATAATTCAAATGCTCACAAAGGTCAGCAGATAGTAAGCTGATGCGTGGGCAGAATGTAAACATTAGGGAGTGGAGGAATCTGGCTAAAGGAGTAGTATCTCTTGCCTAATGTCTTTAAAGGTTTTTTTAAACCAGTGGCTATAGAGAATGCATCTATGGGTCTTCACCCATTGGCAGCCAGTTCATAACTCCAGGACTAGGTGATGCAGGCTATTGTAGGAATTAGCAGGGAACCTTAAAATATAATCAAGGTCCTGACCAGTACTACTGATGATTTTTCTCTATATTTGAGGGGGGGAGGTAAGATCATACTTTTTTTTTTTTTAATGTATTTTTATTGATTTCAGAGAGGAAGGAAGAGGGAGAGAGATAACATCAATGACGAGAATCATTGATACGCTGCCTCCTGCACGCCCCCTACTGGGGATTAAGCCAGCAACCCAGGCATGTGCCCTTGAACAGAATCAAACCAGGACCCTTCAGTCCGCAGGCCAATGCTTTATCCATGAACAAAACCAACTAGGGCTACTTTTTTTATATTTTTAAAAACTTCCACTGGTGAGTCTGTAACAGCAGCCAAGATTGAAAAACACTGGTTTAGGATTACAGGTCAGTCTTTTAAAAACTGCCATTAATTAATGTCTAAAAGATTGTTTTGTTTCTAATTCAGGAAAAGGATGATTTTTAAAATAATGTATCACCTCCTAACCTCAACTCCTATAACTAGGGTAGTATTTCTTTTTTTTTCTTTTTTTATGATTTGTTGATTTTTTACAGAGAAGGGAGATAGAGAAACATCGATCAGCTGCCTCCTGCACACCCCCCACGGGATGTGCCCGCAACCAAGGCACATGCCCTTGACAGGAATCGAACCTGGGACCCCCTCAGTCCGCAGGCTGGCACTCTATCCACTGAGCCAAACCAATTAGGGCAAGGGTAGTATTTCTTTATGATAGAAAAGCAAAAAGATAAAATAAATTACTCCTAGTCTTACTATCCAGAGGTAAATACTGCAATTATTTTTTCCCCAGAAAATCCATGATATATTTTAATGTAACTGAAATAGAATATACTAAATTACATATCCTGATTGAGGGGAATTTGTCTCTCTTTTTTGTTTGTTTATTTCTCTCTTTTAAATTACGAAGTTATCATTCTGTGCAGATACAAAGTTTAAAAGACCACATAATAAACTGTTGATGTCATTTCTGGGAAGTGGTTTTATTATTATTATTATTTATTTTTAGAGAGAAAGGGAGAGGAAGGGAAACAAACATCAATTGGCTGTTTCCCACATACACCCCGATGGGAGATTACAGCCTACCAGCTAGGCAGGTGCCTTGACCAGGAATCAAGCTAGTGACCTTTCAGTGTAAGGGTTAACACTCAACCAACCGAGCCACACGGCCAGGGCTGATTTTGTAAAATAGGTATGTATCAGTTTTTTAATTTTAGAAAAAAAAAATTCTTTAGAAAGTTTTAGAAATAATATAAGGCAAATTAATATCCCTAATTTTACATGCTAAAGATATATTTCATGCACTTCTCTTTAACCTTGATGAAATCTACCTCCGGCATTAAGTAACGTTAACATAGGAATACTTAAACATCTAACAGATGATAAAAGTTGGATTTGATAATGGCAATATTGCAACCAGGAAGTCTCCCCACTCTCAAAAAAGGCCAATGGTTTGTGTCATTCAACATGAATTTTATAGTGAGACATGTAAGCCCCTTTGGTGTAATACTGATTAAACATTTCAGGCTGGACCCAAAGACGAGCTCACTTAATATCAACATCCATGTGATGGTGAGATTCCAGTATATATTTTACGCTAGAACTGCCATTTATATTTTCCCCCTGATATCATTTACCAAGTGTGCAGAAACTACAAAAAAGTGTGTATATATGTTCACTTGTGATGTTAACTTGTGTTACTAGAACATATGTATCAAAGTTTCCAAGTGTATACATGGCATGAAAAAATTTTTTTTGAAGTTTGGGGACATACCTTAAGATATTCACTGTATTCATCCTCAAATTTCTTGCCCCAGATACTGTTTCCTCCTCTTCCGGTACCTATATTACAAGACAAATAAAAGAACTATCTAATTAGAGAAAGGGTTTATTTTCTAAAATTTAAGGGCTATTTGTAACTCTTTAAGTACAAATAAAATTTGATATGTCCTCTGTTACTTTCCAAAATTTCACCTTATAAACCAAAAAAAAATAAAATATCTCTACAAAAACAAAAACTCTCCTTATAATATTCATCTTTTAGAGCTTGGTGCTAGTAGCTTCAGCTTAAAAACTGCTTGCTATTGTAAGGTAGCCCAATTATAAACACTCCACATGCTTTTATTTTTCTATTCTTTGTCTACCCCCTTCATACTAGATACACAATTCTCTAGATATTAATGGAATAACTTACCTGAGGGGTCTCCTGTTTGAACCATGAAACCCTTGATATTTCTATGAAATATACAGCCATTGTAGTAATTACTGGCACAAAGAGCCAAGAAATTCTGAAGAAAGTAAAAATAATGATTGAGAAATCATGTAGCAGAAACATTTAAGATAAAGAACTAAGTGTACTTACTAAAAACACTATAAGAGCATATTTAAACTATGTCTTTCAGGCATTACTTGGGATGTTGTTGCTTCCCTGCCTAAAGCACTTCATGGCTTCCTACGGGTTTTGGAATAAGATACAAACTTCTAAGCGGGGCCTACCTCTCCATCTCATGGTAATGACCTCTCCTGTCCTGTGACTCACTCTGTTAACCCCATCAGCCTTCTGAAAATTCACCCCACAGAGGCAGGCTTTCCTACCTTCATTCAGGCCTTGGTACCTACCATCTCTACACCTGGAATGTTCTTTTTATATATCTTTTCACGGAGATGCGACATTACCTTTCACACTCAGTTTAAGTATCCCTTTCTTGGCTGGGCCTGCCCTCACCTTCTTTTAAATAATTCCTTCCCCCATTATTCTCTCTCTCAACATCTTATTTCCTTCAAGACATTATCACTCTCTAGAATTAATGTTTTTCTAGAATAAATTCCCTCCTCCCTAACTATCTCCACACCTAGAATTTTAGCTCCAAAAGGTCAAGAAATGTGTCCTGTTCATCACTGTATTTCCAAATTGTCAAGATAGCGTTTCATGAGTAACTATTGAATGAATAAATACGCACAGCTGATTTTCCTTCCTTCTATCCTTGTCATTGAAACAAGTGAAATAATGGAACACACAGCTCTCTGACCTGATATCTAATGATTACTATTTGCTAAGAAAAATGAGCCAAAAGGAAAAGATGCCAGCCACCCTACCTCTACGTGGAAATTAGGCCAGACATGACGATGGCGGGCTTTTCCTGACAGTGGTTTCATACAAAAGTGTTTTGGGTTTTTTGGGACATTGTTGGCTTTCTAGATCAGTCATTTTCAAAATGGTTATCCTGATGCATTAACTCAATTTTTGTTTGTTTATAACGATACTCACTTCACATGCTTTGGGCGTCCTCTCGCAGAAGATTTCTATTTTAATATCACCTACATCTGTATGCAGTGTCACCGACTGAAAAGGAGACAGAACGTGAGAACAAATGAGATTTCTTCAGGTGAACTTTATGCACTGTATGACTTCTCTAACTAGATAATATAGATATTAAAGACAATGTAAATAAAAACAGAAATACTGTTTCAGAGATGACCTGTCCACATAGCAGCTGTAAGAGAAGTTTTAATCCTTCAGTATTTACTTAAGCAGTAGAAAAAAGCTCCAGGAGGTAAATATATGTTAGTGTAAAATGGTATCTATGCTAAAAGTTGCAGAGCAAGTATTTTGATTGAAATAATTATTTTAAGTTTGAATTTTTCATCAATAAAAACAAAAACCATTGTAATGTTAGAATTACTTAAATGGCATTCACCATTGTTAATATTCATTGAAAAAGAATATGAGGATGACTTTCAAAACATAGTTTCCACCCTTTCCCTTATGTATTGTAATTTAATTATGAGGGACAAAGTTAAAAATTCCTTTCTCGACCAAAGGCAGGACATAAGAAACATCAGTGTTTCTAGAATCTAATTGTGCAGAGGTAACCACAGTCCTTTTTTTTCATAGTACTCTTTATTTTTGTTTTTTGTTTTATCTGTTGCTTTGGTAGCTTGAATACTCCTTTTGTTATCCCATTCCCAAAAGAAGGAAAATGATTATTCTGGGGCTTTCTTGTTCATTCCTCTCCGTTTTAGGTTCGTATCTAGCAGTCAGAGAGTACAGCCAGGTTGAAGATAGAAAGCAGGAGTGTGTGTGTTGGGGAGAGGGGTGTGGGTCATTACTCACTGTTGTTTTTCTACTTCAAGTTCTAATTGCTACCCTTAAATACAGAGCAAAATATCCCAATTAAAATTATAATAACACGACTCCTCCTACTCTCATCTCGGTCTTGTAATCAATCTCTTTCTATAAAAGGTAAATTCTCTGAAAACATAAGTAATTTTGCTTATCTCTGGTTTTGTTTACAACCATTTTTCACTGCCTGGCCATCGATATTTCCATGCAGTTTTCTTTCCCTAACTGAATTTCTAAAAATTACTTACTTTGAAAAACATTCATAAGAATTCTACAAAACTTACGTACCATTTTTCTTCTTGACGGTTATTGTTACTTAATTTCTCTGTCTTATCCAGAAAAGTTCAAAAACGAATCTCCATTCCCAAAAGAAAAAAAAAATTAAGTTCATTTTTTTTCTCTCTTCTCACATGCTTATGTTTTCTGCATATTTAAAAGAAAAAGTCTCGAAGAACTTTTTAACTATTCAGAGATGACCTGTCCACATAGCAGCTGTAAGAGAAGTTTTAATTCCCCAGTAATAAAAATGCGGTGCCAGAGGGATGAAGAGATCCGACCCGGCTTAAAAGCCCAACCTCCTGGGGGCCCCGCTCCCTCTGCCCGCTCCTCCAGGGTCTGGGCCCCGGTTCCCTCCGCGCGGCACGTCGCACTGCCCCCTACAGGCCTGTCCCTCCCCTCCAGGCTCTGCTCAAAACTCTCCTCAAACATGCCTTCACCCCAGTGCCGCCTCTGTCTCCTTTCCCACAGCGCTTACCCTAATGTACCCTGTGCTTTCTTTTTCTTTTAGTTATTTTTCTTTCTTTTATATATATACTTTATTGAGAGGGATAGAGAGCTAGAAACATCGATGAGAGAGAATCATCGACCAGCTGCCTCCTGCACACCACCTACCGGGGATGTGCCTGCAACCAATGTACATGCCGGAATCGAACCTGGGACCTTTCAGTCCGCAGACCGACGCTCTATCCACTGAGCCAAACCGGTTTCGGCTACCCTGTGCTTTCTTAATGTATTAAACATGTTTCAACAACCACCTCTGCACCTGGAATGCTCACTCGAAGCGGCCCAACAACTAAAACACAGCGCCCCGCGAGTATCTGAGGAAGTCAGTGAAAAATGAGCCGTTCCCCATACTTTACCACTTCAGTGAGCTCAGCTGTGGCTAAGTCAGAAAAGATGCGGTGGCAGGCGCCGCCCCAAGTCTGCAGATTTGACATTAGTTTCTTAGGCCACCGGAAGCCGAGCACCGGACCCATTGGAGAGAACGACCCTCGCGGGCTCGCTTCCTCCGCCCCCCCCCCATCTCAACCCAAAACAACTAGAACTAGGGAGACACTGTAATTATGCCCACCTGGAACGCTTTTGACAGTGAAAGGGGACTCTTTTCATTAAATAGAACAAGAATCCTAGCCCGGAACTATTCTGGACAGTCTCTGGAAGCGCCTGGCACTCAGCGGTAGAATGGGAGGGACCACTTCCGCCCGGCGCCTGCCCCAGCCAGTTCCCACGCCGCGAGATCCCGCCCGGGACCGGAAGTGACGCGCGAGGAGCGCTGCCTGGACTGCTGCGTCTCGGGCCATTTAAATTACGGCGGACGGAGCTGCAGACTTCGGGTTTGTGCAGTTTTCTTTCCCTTTGCGGTGCAGGCTGCGGCCGTTACCGAGGGCTGCTGCAAAAGGAGGCGGAAGAGGAGGTAGGGACAGAAGCCGGCCTGGCACGGGAGAGCTGGGGGCTCCCCTTGGAGCTGGCCACCCGGCTCTTCCTTATGCTGGCAGTGGCCTGGAGGTATAATAGATGAGGGAATCTAAGAAGGTCCAGTTTTGCAGGACCTACTAATGTTACTTAATAACAAACACGTGCCTTCTCGAGGTCAGGTATTGTCACCAGCTTTACGTTTCAGTATTGCGACAAACTATGAGCTGGGCACTTGTTTCTTCAGAGTTGGAAATCACAGCGGCTAAGGAATTGGGGCTCTGGGAGTGGAAGAGTCAATATGGTGTTAAGAGACTTTGTTCTTGCGGAAACCGGTTTGGCTCAGTGGTAGAGCGTCGGTCTGCGGACTGAAAGAGACTGTTCTTGTCCAGCATGCTCTGCTGCTCCCATCGTGAATTCTGGCCCCAAGCTAGGCAGCCTTGCTGTTGCCTGATCTGTGAAATGAGGGTATTCGTTATTCCCAAAGGCAATTTCAAATGTAACAGTAGGTAACTCAAATAGGGGTGGCCCAGAGAGCTTCACTGTCCCGCTTGCCAGATTTAGAGGAACCTGGAGAGTGGAGTGCTGTCAGGACGTGGACTCTGGAGGTGGAAGAGATATAAGGACATTAGAAGATCTTCCAGAACAGTAGGCTGGAGTGGTTAACAGAGGCTCCTAATCAGTTCAAGTCATATATTGAATAAGTACTCAATTCTCATCTATATATATAAAAGCCTAATATGCAAAGTATCCCCACAGGAGTTCGTTAGCTCACAGTGACATGCACTGACCACCAGAGGGTGGCATGGAGCAAAGGGAGCCCCTCCACCCCACCGCTGCATCAGCACTGCTAGGGACCCTACCTGTGCATGAATTTTGTGCACTGGGCCTCTAGTATTAAATATTTTTGCTGTAGAAATGTCTTAAAAATTTCTTTTCAAATCATTGGGTTGTGAATATTTTAATTAAATTTACAATTGGCTGTGCTTTCTTGTTAATTGTTGTGTGGACTATGAAATGCTTTTCTCCAACAGTTTAAAAATGAAGAAACAATATCCTTTTTTGTATTGGATATAGCTGTGTAGAACAGCGATTTTTATTTTTATTATTTTTTTAAAATCAATCTTTATTGTTCATATTATTACAAAGGTTCCTCATTTCTTCCCCCCTCCACCAGGTTCCCACCCCTCCCCATCCCCCATTGTCCTCATCCATAGGTGCACAGTTTATGTTCAGTCTCTTCCTCCCTCCCTTTCCCCGATAGTAAATGCCTTTTCAGATAGTAAATCAGTTACTTAGCATTTTCTCATATCAATAATACCACCACATGCCCAATGATACACTTCACACAAAAGACATTTCCAAATAGGTCAACCAGCCTCATCCAGGCCCCACCCAAGGCACTCACAGATCAACACCCCAGCGCTATACTAACTCAACACATCCAGATCTAAGCCTTCATCACTTGATTCAGCAGACCCTCAAGTTCCCGCAAAAGTTTCCAACCATGTCTGAGAGGCAGCCGTGGGGCAGGGGCAGGCGAGGAGTGAGCTGTTCCGGGCCTGGCCCCTGTTGCTCTGGTTCGTTCCACAACCAGCTGCTCCAGGTCTGGTCACTGCCGCTCCCAACCTAGTTGCTCTGGACTTGGCTGCTGTTGCCCTGGGCCTGGCCGCACCCAACCCAGCTGCTCTGGGCCCGGCTGCTCTGGGCCCGGCCGCTCCGGGCAGGCCGCTCCCAGCCTGGCAGCTGCTGCTCCGGGCCTGGCCGAGAACAGCGATTTTTAATTGGTGAGCCACAAGAGTTTTTAAAACATGATCTCTTTTTCCCTTAGATTGTCAAATAAAAAACAGCCAGCACAGCAAATAGCTGTCGATGTGAATGAGTCAACATTATACAGTACCTGTTTTTTGTCAGATCGGCAAAAAATATTTTTGGGTGTGCCACAGAATTTTGTAATTACTTTATGTGTGCCATGAGATGAAACAGCTTGAAAATTGCTGCTCCATTAGGCTCACAGGCTCTGGGCACGCTCCCACCCGTTGAGCCTCGCCTTCCTGGAGCAGATGTGGGCGCAGGGGCAGCAGCGCTGCTTTTTCCTGTCTTGACCCTGCTCATTTGGGGTGACTCCTCTGTGCATCTTGTAAAGTACTTAACTTTATGTATATATTGTTGTAATTTTTTTTTTAACAAAAAGAAAATACCACCTTAATTCCAAACTCTGCTGAGATGGGGTGAGGGACAGTGTTTAGTGCTGGCCTGTGTTGGTGATACTGAGATATGTAAAAGATAATTCCTGTTTTCCAGTGGCGTTAGCATACTGGGAAGACAGACATACAGGAATCTAATATTATGAGAATACTAGGGCAGAATGGGGCGGGGTAGGAGAGAGACACTGAAAAGAAAGATTTGTCGCCGGCACCGGTTTGGCTCAGTGGATAGAGCGTCAGCCTGGGAACTGAGGGGTCCCGGGTTCGATTCCGGTCAAGGGCACGTACCTTGGTTGCGGGTGCATCCCCAGTAGCGGGTGTGCAGGAGGCAGCTGATCGATGATTCTCTCTCATCGATGTTTCTAACTCTCTATCCCTCTCTCTTCCTCTCTGTGAAAAATCAATAAAAAAAATTTTTTTTTTTTAAAGAAAGATTTGTCAAGGAAAGCTTTTATTTTAGGAAGTTGAAGGAGACTTGGAAGAAAGTAATAGAGAAATGGAGAAGGCAGGAGGGGTCGGAGCAGGGATGGGGAGAACAAGAGCAAGGGTGAGGTACTCTGGGGATAAGGGGTGACCATCTGTGTTATGTGCCAGGTGACTTACATAAGTGAATCCACTTGCCCCTCTCGATGGCCTGTGAGGTAGGCTGTGGTGTTTCTGTTTTATAGATGGGGAACCACGCTCAAAAAGTTTCAATAACTTCCTAAGGAAATGCTGGTGAGTGGCAGGGGCAGTGCCTGAACCCAGGTCTGTGTGACTGCAGCTCCTTGGCTCCTATTTTGCAAAGGCAAAGGCCTAACGTGTCCCATTTTTTTTGTGTTTTGGCTTCAGCTATTCAGTTTTTCCCGGTGTCTGTATGTTGTCATCTCACATACGCCTGGTCCCTGCAAGAGTCCGGCTTGTCCATTCCCTGGTCCGCACTCCTTCCTGCTCCTTCATGGATCTGAAGGCTCTCCTTTCCTCCTTGAACGACTTTGCATCCCTCTCCTTTGCCGAGAGCTGGGACAATGTTGGATTACTGGTGGAACCCAGCCCGCCACACACGGTGAACACACTCTTCCTGACCAACGATCTGACCGAAGCAGTGATGGAGGAGGCGCTGCAGAAGAAGGCTGACTGCATTCTCTCCTACCACCCGCCCATCTTCCGGCCCATGAAGCGCGTCACGTGGAAAACCTGGAAGGAGCGCCTGGTGATCCGGGCTCTGGAGAACCGAGTGGCCATTTACTCTCCTCACACAGCCTACGACGCCGCACCCCAGGGGGTCAACGCCTGGCTGGCGAAAGGGCTCGGTGAGGCCCTCTTGTTCTCTCACGTTTCGTATTTTCCCTATAAATGTTTTGACATTTTAGGGCACATGTGTCAAACACAAGGCCCGCGGGCCAAATCCGTCCCGCCAGGCCTTGCAATGTGGCCCGCACCGCGCTGTCATCACTGCACTCCGCTGCGTTTCCATCACAATGACAGTTTATGACTGTTCAGTAAACCATTCGGCCCGCGATTTAGGCTGGATTTTAGATTTTGGCCCCTTCTCTGATTGAGTTTGACACCCCTATTTTAGGGTGTCTTTTCAATAGTGTTTTCATTGCTTTAGGGTGGGATCATTATTGTGTATGCAAAGTATGTTTTAAAATAATGTTGCTGGCCGAAACCCGTTTGGCTCAGCGGTAGAGTGTCGGTCTGCGGACTGAAGGGTCCCAGGTTCGATTCCGGTCAAGGGCATGTATGTTGGTTGTAGGCACATCCCCTGTAGCAGGTGTGTAGGAGGCAGCTGGTCGATCTCATTGACGTTTCTAGCTCTCTATCTCTCTCCTTTCCTCTCTGTAAAAAAAAAAAAAAAAAAAATCAATAAAATATATTAAAAAAATAAAATAAAGTAAAATAAAATAATGTTGCTGAAACCTGGCAACCAAATTACGTTTGGAAAATAACATTTTTATTGTTAATGAATAAGGCGAGCCTGGGAAACCTTCACGCTAATTACATTATGATTCCTCACACAGGTGGCATGGTGCCTGGCAGCCAGGCACTCAGAAACACTTGTTAAATTGAATTGAAAGTTTGGGCCTCTTCAGGACAAACTTAATATGTCACCCAGGTAGACAAGGGGTTTTTTCTTGTTGTTGTTTTTTATATATATTTTATTGATTTTTTACAGAGAGGAAGGGAGAGAGAGAGTTAGAAACATCGATGGGAGAGAAACATTGATCAGCTGCCTCCTGCACACCTCCTACTGGGGATGTGCCCGAAACCAAAGTACATGCCCTTTACCGGAATCAAACCTGGGACCTTCCAGTCTGCAGACCGACGGTCTACCACTGAGCCAAACTGGTTTTGGCTAGACCAGAGTTTTAATGAGGGAATTCAGCACATGTGTTTTAGCTTTACTTTTAGTAAGTCCTTTTAGTTTACTTACTCGTTTTGGGCTGAAGCGTTTGAGGATATAAGCTGGATTGATGTGGTTGAGTAGACATGAGCATTTACACCCTGAGTCATGTAGTACATGGGTAAATTTAATAAGCAGCACAATTGTATGTATTATCTAAAGCACATGCAGCAGTCTTTCTTGTCCAAATTTTTGTGGTATTTAATAATACTGGAAAATAATTCTAAAAATAAATTTTATTTTGTATGTCTGTATTAAATCCCTCATTGTTGGGTAACGTTGGTTGTATAGGAAAAGGATATATGTATATGTGTATAGTGATAAGCATCTGAGAATGAACTTAAAAAATACGAATGTCTTGTAAGTTTTGGCCATAATAGTTTATCTTTTTAATTAGAAAAAAAACAAAACACAAAAACTCCATTTTCCTACCATTTTTTTCTAGGCGTTTGCACCTCCAGGCCTATACATCCTTCCAAAGCACCCAGCTGCCCAACAGAGGGAACACACAGAGTAGAATTTAATGTTAACCACACTCACGACCTGGACAAAATCATGTCTACAGTGAAAGGAATTTCGGATGTTTCTGTCACTTCCTTCTCTGCTAGGTACAGTATATTTCTCTCTTTTCTTGGTGGGTACTTATTTGTGAAGATCTTCCTTACAAATTCTATAATTCTGACATTTAGGTTTGAAACATTGTTTTCCCCAGGAAGTATTTACAAAACAGCCTGCTTCTCATTTGGGTCCTCAAAGGAGGAGAACCATGGGAACTTTTCAAAACAATAAAGGTGACAAGGAACGCTATTTCCTCTGTGGAAGGGACTAGACAGTACATTTTATATGCCGTATTCCTCATCCTCCTGGTAATGGTAAAGGTAGTTGTTTTACTTTAGGGCACAGGTGTCCCTGTGGGTTTGGTTTCAGACAAGCATAATAAAGCAAGTCTAGTTAAAGCGAGTTGTAATCTTTTTACTGGTGGAGGGTCTTGTCTTCAGTTTATAAAGAAAGACAATACTCGTGTAGTTCAGTAAAATGAGGTATGTCTGCTACTCATTCCCAGTATCTTCAATTCAAGTTGTCTTTTTCCTTCCTTTCAGAGAAGTGAGTGTCTTTCCAAACACATACAGACATGAAGAAATGTGTAGTTTTATTTGTTGTTCTCTTAATTAAGTGGTATGGTGTATTTGCCATTTTACTAACAAGATGTCTTAGAGATCTTCCCATGTAGGTATATAAGATCTCTTTCTTTCTATCTTTTTTTTTTAATATATCTTTATTGATTTCAGAGAGGAAGGGAGAGGGAGGGAGAGAGAAACATGATGAAAGAGAATCATTGACCAGCTGCCTCCTGCACGCCCTCCGCTGGGGACCGAGCCCGAAACCCGGGCATGTGCCCTTGGCTGGAATCGAACCTGGGACCCTTCATTCCACAGGCTGACACACTGTCCACTGAGCCAAACCAGCCAGGGCAAGATCTCTTTCTTTTATTGATTTTGTACAGAGGAGAAGGGAGAGTGAGAGAGTTAGAAACATCGATGAGAGAGAGTCATCAATCAGCTGCCTCTTGCACACCCCCTACTGGGGATGTGCCCGCAACCAAGGTACATGCCCTTGACCGGAATCGAACCCGGGTCCCTTCAGTCCCCAAGCCGACGCTCTATCCATTGAGCCAAACTGGTTTCGGCAAGATCTCTTTCTTTTTAACTGCTGCATAATGTTTCTTATTATGGATGTACTGTAGATCTTTTTTCTTTTTTCTTTTTGTTTGTTTATTGTACTATAGATTCTTTAAACATTCCTCTTCCTAACTGATGATTCCTCCCTTCTTTGTAAACTGATGCAGATTTAGTCTGGTTCTAGTTTTACTACATCACAGTTAATGTCTGGGTTTGACCAATAGTCAGGGCCAACCTATTGTTTTTGCTTTTTGTTTTCAAAGCTCTGCAGATTATTCCAATATTGACAACAACACTTCCAGATTATATTTCAAGGTGCCTTTTGTTTCAAGCATTCTATAATTAGAGTTTATGGCTAAATGCAAAACTTCCTTGATGCCAGTATTTTTAGAGACTCTAAGGGCATTGCTTTTCAAAGGGCGATAAGGACTCTCTGCCCTTATGAATGGAGTCCTTATGAAAAAATGCAGATTGTTGGCTTCATCCTAGATTGTGTAATTAGGATGGGCTTTGCCTGAGAATCTGTCCAGAAATTCTTGTATGCAGTGTTGTTTGAAAATTAACTTCTCTAGGGCTTTAAAAAGAATTCAGTTTGCCCCAGCCCATTCACAGATGCTGTTTCACCGGATCTGTAAAAGGTTCAGCAGCTGTCATTTTAGGAAGCGAGGCACAACTGGATTAAGAGCCCTTAGAACTTGCAGGAGACGGCTGATTGATGTATCTCTCTCATCGATGTTTCTAACTCTCTATTCCTCTCCCTTCCTTTCTGTAAAAAATCAATAATATATATATATATATATATATATATATATATATATATATATATATATATATATATAAAACACTGTTGTAGGAAATAATTTGGTTTGGGATTGAATCCTCAATGTCATAAAATCTAATCTTTTACTCTTTTTCCAGGACTGAGGAGGAGGAGCAGACGCGGGTCAGTCTGAACTGTGGTCAGCAGGCTTTGATGCAGGTGGTGGCTCTCCTTTCCCAGCACAGACAGCTCTATCAGAAGACTGAAATCCTGTCGCTGGAGAAGGTAATAAAAATGTCTTCTGTTGCCGAGCGTTGGGTGGCAAATTCATTTGTAAATTGTTAGGTCAGAAAGTAGGCCTTCCCAGGAGTCTGAGCTCCTCCAAGCCAGAGAGTGTTTTCGTCAGATTTGTGTCCCCTGGACACAAGCGTTAGCCTGGAGCCGGCTGTAGTGAGCTCACAGCGTGCACGTTATATTGCTCTCAGCATTTGCTCTTTGTTCTAGGATTGTTTTCTAGGACTGTTTCTCTAACTTCTGTTTTTCAGCCTCTGCTTCTGCACACTGGAATGGGACGGTTATGCACCCTGGATGACTCTGTCTCCTTGGCAACCTTGATTGAGCGAATCAAAAGGCACCTAAAACTATCTCATGTTCGCCTTGCTCTTGGGGTGGGGAGGACCTTAGGTAAATATGTCTCCTTTATTCGGCCAGCATGCCTACCGTTAACATGGGCAAAAGTTGAAACTCTTCCTTGTATTGTAAGTGAAAGAAAACGTGTTAGTAGTTACGGGAGATGCCTGACTGGTTTACGCTATCGATCAGGGTGGTCTAGGTTGTGCTGTGGTAAACATCTCGTTGACTTCCACAAGATTTATTTCTCCACAGTCTGTGCATCTCAAATCGGCCGGGAAGTACCTAGGTGGTCGCTGTTGCAAAGGCAGAGTCTTAAGCCACCAGTTAAACATTCTAGCCTAGAAATGAACTTCGGTTTAACTCATAGCTCAGAGTCAGTCACCTTCCCGACCCAACCCACGTTGGGCATGAAGTACCATCCTGCCCCGTGTTGGAAGAGGGCTGGGAAGTGGCTTCTCCAGCTTCCGTGCAGATCTCGGTGTCTTCCAATACTGGTGACGTTTTATAGCGAGGTGCTGCTACGTGAGCGACCACCGCAGCTTCTGAGTCCTGTAGCCACTGTCTTCTCTATCGGCTCTTCCCGCTACTCGGAAAAAGGACCCCTCAGGGTGTTTGTTGACCCCTGCAATTTGCCTAGCAGTGTCATGAGTAAGTTAAGAATGTGAGTTCCCACTGCAAAGCCGCCTAGAGGTTGTGAGCAAGGATTCCGAGTGTCTTGGGTAAAATTCATCTGTCCTATTGGCTGCATGACTTTGACAATAATTTAACCCCTTGAGTCCCGATAGCCACATCTGTGAAAACCATGGTGGTAATAAAACCTGACTCATCAAAATAGATGTGCACAGGGACTGGTACCCAGTGAGTGCAGGCTCTGAGCTCTGTGGCAGGTGTCAGTGTTCCCCTTGTGTCGGTGAGACACTGAGGTTCAGAGATACTTATCCGGAGGTCTACAGTTGGATCAAATAACTCATGGGTGTTAATTTCCAAACCAGCCGAAACCGGTTTGGCTTAGTGGATAGAGCGTCGGCCTGCAGACTGAAAGGTTCGATTCCTTGACCTTGGTTGCGGGCACACACCAGTGGGGGGGCCGTGCAAGAGGCAGCTGGTCGATGTTTCTCTCTCATCAACGTTTCTAACTCTCTATCCCTTTCAATTCCTCTCTATGTAAAATCAATAAAATATATTTTTTTTAATTAAAAAATAATTTCCAAACAAAATGGATAGCAGAGGTGGGATTTGACTTCCAATCCAACTCCAGAGCCCCTGTTTTAAAGTAGCGCTATTGTGTGACTACTAATGACGTTTTTATTCTCGAAACCTACGTGCTAAATACTTGTTGGATTTGGGCCTGGAAGTTTCTGTTAGTTCACTCTTCAGAGGTTGCTCTTTATTTATTTATTTTTAATCCTCACTCGAGGATGATCTCCATTGGTTTTTAGAGAGATGGGAGAGGGGGAGGGAGAGAAATGCTGTTGTGAGAGAGACACACTGGTTGCCTCCCACAAGGGCCCAACCAAGGCTGGGGATCTGGGATCCTTCAGTCCGTGGTCCACACTCTGTCCACCGCACCACACCAGCTAAGGGCCAGCGGATGCTCTTTTAAAGTAAACAGGTATTTAGAAATGTGTCAGATCCATTTGTAGCATTCCTCTAACTAGCCCTGTTAGTTCCTCTGCTTCCTCACCTGAGAACAGATAGTACCTGCCTAACTCTCCCTGTTGCCTGGGGACCCAGGTAGGTTACTTCCCCTGATAGCGCTGCAGTAAAGCCGAGAGCTATACTGTTAACATTATTCAGCGGTGCCTTACACGGGCTTGTGCAGCCTTGTATGTCTAAAGGAATAGTAACCTTGCCTTGGTTAGTTATGCTATGCACTATCAAAGAATAATCTGTCTGCCTATATGAGGACGTTTTGTGTGTGTGTGTGTGTTTAATATATTTTATTGATTTTGTACAGAGAGGAAGGGAGAGAGACAGAGAGTTAGAAACATCGATGAGAGAGAGTCATCGATCAGCCGCCTCTTGCATACCCCCCACTGGGGATATGCCCGCAACCAAGGTACATGCCCTTGACCGGAATCGAATCCGCACCCTTCAGTCCGTAGGCCGATGCTCTATCCACTGAGCCAAACCGGTTTCGACTGTGAGGACATGTTTTATTTTTTAAAGTTCAAAAAGCAAAATTTATATGCTTGTCATTAGGGCAAGCATGAAATTTATATTATATTTAGGATGTTGGGTGCAAATTGTAATATGAAACTGAAGGGGAATTGTAAAGTACCGGTCTCATGCTTCCCTTCTCTTGCAGAGTCCCAAGTCAAAGTGGTGGCTCTATGTGCTGGCTCTGGGAGCAGTGTTCTGCAGGGGGCCGAGGCCGACCTCTACCTCACAGGTAGGGCAGCCGTTGGATTTCTCTTCTCCCCTTTTTGTGTCCTTTCCTAACCGTGGTTTATTTTTTACAAATTTAAAAAGCAAATTTTAGGACCGCCCCTGACATATAGATGGAGCTAATAAATGTTTTTTGAACCTGAACTAAATAAGAACTACACCAAAATTAGGGACATACCTTATTCTTTGTGGAGAGAAGAAAAACCATTTAACAGTTTATTATCAGACTGTTTAAAAATACTAATGTCTAGCACTTATTTAACTTGTCTTCTTCCTCAACATGATTTCTCTCAGATTTCATGTCACTTTCTACATCTTGCCTTAGCTAAAAGATAGTTCTTCTAACTCAGCCCTAAAATCAACCATCAGTTCTGCCTATGGTCTTGATCCGGCATCTAGAAGGGTTCAGGAACCTGAAGAAGGCGTTGTGCGTAAATTAATCAAGAGTTCAGAGGCTAAACATAATTTTGAAAGGCATTATGGGGAGTTAGAGGAGCTTGAATAGGTGCTTGAATAAAACATATTTCTTATAATGAAATGACACATATGAGAGGTAGAAGGGTAACTTTTTCTTTTCTTTTTTTTAATATATTTTATTGATTTTTCACAGAGAGGAAGAGAGAGGGATAGAGAGTTAGAAACATCGATGAGAGAGAATCATCGATCAGCTGCCTCTTGCACACCCCCTACTGGGGATGTGCCCGCAACCAAGGTACATGCCCTTGACCGGAATCGAACCCGGGACCTTTTAGTCCGCAGGCCGACGCTCTATCCACTGAGCCAAACCGGTCCAGGCTAGAAGGGTAACTTTTTCTAAGAACTTTTTCCCCCCTTATATTTTATGCCTTTATATTCCTATATACATCTCAAAATTATACTTTTTGTGAACAGGCTGAATTGTGCACAAAATCTTTTTGCTCTTAAATTAGAAGTCATCAGGTTCACCAATGGTGTTCTTAAAAATTAAAAACATTTTGAGTTTTCCAGAAATTATTTCACAAAGGATGAGTCCTCTCTCCACAGTAACAATTTCTAGGAATTTTGCCTAAGTCAAAGGAAAATACTGTTTTTTAATTTAGAAATAACATGAAACTCATTTCATTTTTATGAATGAGACTAGGGTTGATGCTAAAAACGTTGAGGCTCACAAAGCATAAAGGAGTCTACTGGGAAGTATACGTAAGGTTTTCTTGAAACATTTAATACTAACGTAAGGAACGTTCTGAAAGCCCCATTTTACTGAGCAGGTTGTTTTATTTTATCATGGAAACAATTGAATGGGTGGCCTTACAGCTCTGGCTCTGGCAGTATTAAGAAACTGTTGGGTATGTAATTTTGGATCCTTGTCCTGGGCCTGCCAAGGAGAATTTAGAATTCTCAGTAGGATGGTTTCTGAATTTTTAAATTGGAGGACATGTAAGAGCCTATACATAACTGCCTAGATTTATCTGTGGAATTCTGTTACGCTTGCTTCGTACAGAATGCACAAGTAGTCTTTCTGCTGTTGTGGTTCAGCATTACAGACTGTGTCTAATGTTTAGGTATGTGCTCTTTCCTTTGCCGGCAGGCGAGATGTCCCATCATGATGTTTTAGATGCTGCTTCGCAAGGAATAAATGTCATCCTCTGTGAACATAGCAACACTGAGCGAGGCTTTCTTTCCGACCTTCGAGATGCGCTGAGTGTTCACTTGGAGAATAAGATTAATATTATCCTGTCGGAAGCAGACAGGGACCCTCTTCAGGTGGTGTAATGCATGCGGCGTAGAATGACATCTACTTTACAAACCGTTTCCCTCCTCTCGAACGCACATGATCAGTGGCGTCCGTATCCGTAATATTTAGAACGTACATTGTCATTTCTGGTTTGTTTATCTGCTTCACCATATGTTCTATAGTTTTTAGGGTAAACACTGTAATGTAACTATTATTAAAAAACAGATATTTAGCCCTGGCTGGGTAGCTCAGTTTTGAGGAACTTCAATGTTTTTACTGAAAACAAATAAAAAACAAATTAAAAAAACTATAAATAAAAGTGATTCTATTCAAATTGGAATTTTATTAATAATAAAGACTATTGACACTTCTTGCAAATAGTATAGGCACAAAAATTATAAAAATAAACTAGTGGATATTTAAGGGCAAATGTAAAGTTTACACATTAGATCATTAAAGATTTTGTATACTTTTTATACTGCAAGTTATAAACTAGATATGTTAAGAAAGAAAAAAAAGTGCAAACCAGTAAGAATATGCTATCCTGTTTTTAAAAGGAAAACATACAGGCAAAAACCCTTATATGTGCATAGACCTCCTTTGGAAGGTTATCAGTGGTTGCCTAAGGAACTGGATCAAGGAATAGGAAAAAACTGCTTTTCGTTGAATAGCCTTTGGTACAATTAAAAAAAGTTTTAGAGTCAGTAATGTACAGATTCTTTAATATTTTAATAGTAATTATCTTTTAGATTAAACCCTTAATTCATGAATTTAATATAAAACTGATTAATTATATGCCACAAAGAAATGATTTTAAAAATTCCGAGAATTTTGGGAAATATTTTCATGGAAGGCATTTACAAAATAAATGAGTAAAAAAATGCTGATGTGATATATACTTTATTACAGTGATATTAATGAAGGTTTTCATTTCCAAGTATGAAATATTTCAGGGAATATGTGAAAACTGTAGGCTGCTGAGTACAGTGGCCAAGGTTAGCCTTTTTTCTTAGGAAAAGGGCTCATGTAAATATTTAGGAGGCTGGAAATTGTGACTAAGAAAAAAACTGAAATGCCTGTGAGTTTTAGACTTACTTGATAGAGAAAGCAATTAATTTAAGGCCAGCCCAGCCCGTGTGGCTCTTGTTGAGCATCAACCTATGAACCAGAAGGTCCTGGTTCAATTCCCAGTCGGGGCACATGCCTGGGTTGTGGGCTCGATCCAGGGCATGTGGGAGGCAGCCAGTCAATGATTCTCTCACATTACTGATATTTCTATTTCTCCCTCTCCTTCCCTCTCTGAAACCAATAAAAAATATTTAAAATTTAAACCCAGCTATTAATTTGCTACTTACATGCATGTTATTCAAGAAAAGAAATAGGTCAATATACAAGAATACTTAAATGTTTATTTTCTATTGTCTTGAAAATAAAGACCAAAAAACTTAGAAGTGAATTTCTCTAGCCTGGCTTCTCAATTGTATCGTGAAGATGATGGCACAAACATTAATTGTTTCATATTTTTCATGTGCTTTCTAGCCTGGGTATAACCTATATACTTGTTATGCTTTTCCCACTCTCCCAACTGGAAAGTGTCATGCTCCCCCGCCTCCACCCAGTATGTAATTTAAATACTAAAGGAGAAAGCTCGATCACCTAGTTTTCCCCAGTTTTATACCTTTCGTTAAGCCAGTTCAGAAACAGGTCTTCTCCATTTCACTTACCAGCTCTGACACTCAGAGCAGCCAGCCAAGCAGACCTGTGTGATGCCAGTGTCTTTGCACTTCTGCACGCTGGAACGAGCAGCCCAGGAGCGGTAAAAGGCCCTAAAGAATCAGGAGTACCACCTCTAATATAAAGGAATTAAAAACATCTAGTTCCAAATAGTCCCTGAGCACACTGTTCACTCCAGCAAGAATCTCCAGAGAGGTAATGAATGAAAGGCACATTTTCTCCAACTTGAAAGACCACTGAATAGCACAGTACTAGAGATGGAAATAATTAGCCAGGCTAATCAAGGTTCTAATTCATGACATTCCCCTTCCAGTTTTAAATCTTGGAAAGAGTCTGGTGTTGGATGTAAACACAGTTGAGACTGGAGGCGAGGTAGCCGGAGTACAACCTTCCATAGAACAGTCAGGAGCAAAGGAGAGCTTCACGACTCCTCTTCCTCCTTTTCCAGGAACTCCGACAACGTCCCATTGTCAATAGGAATGAATAAATATTCTACTCCATCAGTTCCCTAAAAGATATAAGAAGAACCGATGTTAATCATTTGTAAGATTTATTTGAATCCTATCGGTTAAAAAATGGATTTAATATTTTATATAAATTTAGAAGTATAACAGTTATGAGAAAAGGTCAACCATATATATATATATATATATATATGTGTGTGTGTGTGTGTGTGTGTGTATGTGTGTGTGTGTGTGTGTATGTATATATATTTTAAATATATATATACATATATATATATATTTAAATGCACTGAGTTCTTAGGCCACTTTAGGGTGGGAAAGAAGTCTAGCAAGTGAGTGGATATTTACTTTCTTCATCCTCCTTTATGGAATCTTGTACTATTGATTTTTCTGTTAATTTCCATTTTACTTGGATCCAGTCCATTGGTTTTAAAATACATTTAGTATCTCCCATTATTAAGTAACCTCATTCTATTCCATCTATCCCCCTGCATCTGCACCTTTTCAGAGAGTTGTCTAAATGGTAGTCTCCATTTCCTCACTTCTCACTCAACCCAGTTCAATGGAGCTACTGCCACTATTACGTCACCAAAAGAGCTTTTGTTTAGATCGGTGACTTTCAACCCTTTTCATCTCAGGGCACATATAAACTCCAATTCTGTGACACACCCAAAAACTTTTTTTTTTGCCAATCTGACAAAAATAGGTATAATTTTGATTCATTCATTGGATAGGTATTGTGTTGGCTGTTGTCATTTATTTATTTATTTATTTTTTAGAGAGAGAAGGCCTTTTTCCTCATTAACTGCCACACCCTTGGATAGTAAGGTGTCTATTTTTATTTTATTAATTTTTTACAGAGAGGAAGGGAGAGGGAGAGAGAGTTAGAAACGTTGATGAGAGAGAAACATCCACCAGCTGCCTCTTGCACACCCCCTACCAGGGATGTGCCCACAACCAATGTACATGCCCTTGACCGGAATCGAACCTGGGACCTTTCAGTACGCAGACCGACGCTCTATCCACTGAGCCAAACCCGTTTTGGCGGCAGTTGTCATTTTTATTTACTTGACAATCTAAGGGAAAGGAGGTCAGTGCCCTGACTAAATAGTCAGGCATTACATGTTTTAAACCTTGTGGCACCCAGTGTGCCATGGCATGCCGGTTGAAAATTGCTTAGACCAAGGGATTCCATGTTCTAGACCCAATCATCTTTTAGTCCTCCACTGGCAGCTCAGCAGCACCTCACTGTACACTTCCACACTCTGAACAAGCATATTTGCAAACAATCAGCTCCAGGAGCGTTAAAAGGCCCATTCTGAAGACCATTCTTTTTTTCTTAAAAAATGCTTTTCTTAGTTTCTGTAACATCAAGTCCTGGCTTTCTTCCTGACTGGCTGTTTCTCTCGCCTTGTAGGCTCATCTTTTACTTTGCCATTAACTGTCACCCTTCTAGGCTTAGTTCCTGGCCCTCGAACCTTACTACCTTACCTCTCTACAGAGTTCAAATGGCCCCCTGCCTAAATAGACCCCACCATGGACCCTCAGCTCCACAATGAGATCTCGGTCAGAGGCACCCTTGGCCTTAAGTGAACAAGCAGTGCTATTCTTGGAATAGAAAGCTGTAACAGCCAAGTCTCACCTTCTTGGTTCTTATAAGCTTGTGGTCCCTAAATTCCGTTAACTGGGCCCGAAGTGTCAGATCACTATTGACAAGGAATGCCTCCCGACACTGCTGGTAAAAATCTTGAAAAGAAAGTCCTGGAGAGTTCAAAAGGAGATGTGAACATAAATCAGCATTTCACACAGAACCCCATATAGGATACCCATACCAAAGAGCACAGAGATAAAGTGCTGTGGCCACAGTATTTCAAAGCAGTCGTTAAGTGTTGACTTAAAAACAAGGTAAGTGCTTCTGGAAGAAGCAAAACTAGAGAATACTGTGGCTTATATTTTTTAAACAAAAATAATTGGTTGAAAATAGGCAACTGTGACCAAGTGTTGCGTACTCTACAGGCAGTTTTAAATAGTGTGAATAAAGTTGACTATTAAAGAGGGAACTAACAAGTAAGTCATGAGAGCTGAACGATTATTAAAATGTTTAATACATTATTTTTACTCAAAGAAGAAAATCTAAGATGCCCAATGTATGAAATGTATGTAATTAGTAGACACACATGCACAGTTAGCACATGAAATTTGAAAAGCAAGCTGGGTGGCCTTTTATAGGGTTGTGAGGATATTTGCTATGAGGCAGACACCAAGATCACAGAGCAAACCATCTATTCACTGCACTGCTGTGAAAAACTGGATGCTATTAGATTCCAGAAAAAGGAATTTATGGGGTGAAACAAAAGTGATACAATTTAGTATCATAAAGATTGAATACCTAGGTAAGAAGGGTTATCCTGGTTATCCAGCTGATACTTTATTAGTAGTCTGAAAATCCCCCTAGGGAGAAAAACACACAGGAGTTCAAATCCAAAATTTAACATCAAAAGAAAACAGCTAGTAGTAAAACACATGAAGGGAATGTGGAATACTTGGCTTGTCTGTTAGCTTCTGTTCCTTCTCCAAGAAACATTACATACTGTCCTCATTATTGATGTTTCTATCTCTGTCCCTTCCTCTCTGAACTCAATAAAAATAAAAACAATTAAAAAGACCTAAGTTCTAGCCACAGATCCATCACTAACTATCTATGTGAACAGATATAAGAAACTAGTTTTTATTCTTACCTTGCATTAGGGGTAAGGCTTCGTGAGACATGAGTTAGGGAACTAAGTGGTAGTGATCCAGACTGTTTAACGAGAAGAGAATTCTCATAGGAGGTTTCTTCAGTATAAGGACTATATGTAGTCGTTTCATACCAGAGCCAGTTATAAAGACTCTGCTTTACATGATCCCACACTAGAGCACAAAATCAAAGAAATACAAACAATTACTAATTATCCTTATATTGTCCTGTTACTAAATTCTACTCCAGGAAAGAATGAGAAAACATTAAATAAAAAAATGAATCCTATAAACTTGTTTTTGCCATTTCCCCATACAAATCTAATTTTATGATCAATCAACATTTGAACCTTCATTGGTACCTTAAATACAAGTTAAAATACATTAGTGCTACCAAGGCATTCTTTTAAAAAGTTTGAATAACATTTTGTTCAATAAGATTATCACAGTCTCAAAATTACACTGCATAAAATAAATGTAATATCTCAGAGAAGAAAAAGACCAAAATATCAGTTGGGTCTCCTCTATTTCAAGGAGCTTTAGGTGTAAAACACTTAATTTAGAAGCTGAAT